GTTATTTATATGGCACCTTTCAAGACAGAATCACAAAGTGCTGCACATAAGATTACAAGTCATAAAAAGATTTAAAAAGAGAAAATAAAACGGGCATAAAATGAACCAAAAGCAGTTTTAAAAAGGTGAGTTTTGAGTTGTTTTTTAAAAATAGCGACTGAGTCCACAGTTCTTAATGCTTGGGGGAGAGAGTTCCACAGTCTCGGGGCCACAGTGGCAAAAGCTCTGTCACCCTTAGTTCTCATCTTAGTATTTTTTATAGCAAGTAAGCCCTGATCAGATGACCTCAAAGACCTGCTAGGGACATCGGGCTGTAGCAGATCAGAGATGTAGGCAGGTGCCAGTCCGTGCACAGCTCTGTAGGTCAAGACTAGGATCTTAAAATCGACTCTAAATTTAACAGGAAGCCAGTGTAACTGAGATAATAACGGTGTCACATGTGAGTACTTGGAGGATTTTGTCAAAAGTCTCGCTGCAGCGTTTTGCACAACCTGCAGACGATCCAGAGAACCTTTGCTTAGACACATAAACAGCGAATTACAATAATCCAAGTGTGACGAAATAAAAGCATGTATAGCAATCTCGAGTTCAGAGCGAGATAAAACCGGGTTTAGCCTAGCCTTTAGGTTGACAATATGATTCGTGGATCGTGAAGAGAGTTTTTTTTTTTATTATTATTCAATGAAATAATGCATAATTTGCAACAACTGCAATTATGTAAATAAGTGTCTCAGTGGGATTTTAAACAGGAAATTTAATAACCCCCCCCCGATTCAAAGAGTTAGTGAAAGCAGGGAACCTGTTTTCACAGAGCACACTGAGAGTAGGTAATGTGTGTTTGTTGGATATGATTTTTTATTTGGTCAATTAATTCTCAGAGTGATGAGTACAGAAGATCAGAACTATTTGTGTCCTCAGCTCTGGTGCTCCGTGGTAGCACATGAAAATAGAGTGTGAGCCAACTGCATTATGAAAGAACACTTTTTCTCCCTTTATAGGGACCATCAGTCGGT